ATAGTAACAACTGGGGAACCTAGATAGAGGTGCTCACTAAACTAATCTTTAGACTTTCATGCAAGCATGACTTTTTTCAATATATCAGGATTTTAAAAAATTCAGAAAGCGGTCTAGCCTCATGATGGAAGGTACTGTCTCAAGACTGATTGGACATTTCTTCTCCATACCCCAGATCAGAGAAAAAAACCACAAAGGAAGCCATTATAATTTTTTTTAAAAACTGAATGTGCAAACAATACAAGGAGATTTCCATACTAAAGGATTAATGTCAAATAGTGTTATGACTCTCTAAGGCTCCTGACAGGCTACGGCCCAAAGCAGAGGGATTCAGTGCTTTGTTTTAAACCATGTTCAGGAGAATAGGGCTAATAAGCACTATCATTTTTAAGAATCTAGACATTCTGCTGGGGGCTTTATTAAAACCATTTAACTTAACCCTTAAAACATAACAAGCTTGAATCTAGCTGTTAAGATATCATACTGAAATAAAATAAAATAAGATAAAATTCAAGGAGGTAAATAACCTACATGCAAATCCACAGAGAAAATGGAAGGTTTGAACTTACGTCTGTGTAACTCCAAACCCAAGAATCTTTGCTATATAATACACTAGATGAACATGAAGAAACAGGATTATTTCTTGCTTAAAATTTCACTCTTCAATAAGTTATTGAGCTACTACTATCACTAACGTTTAATAATTACAACAAATGATATTTCTATTTTTTCTACCAAAAAGTATAATCATCCAAAAAAAGAAAATCCATATTCTAAAATGAATTATGTATATGATTTATCTGCATTTTTTAAGGATGTACTGATAAGAAGAGATTATTAAGAGTTACAATGGGTTGCTATTTTTTTAAAAAAAAACAAAAGTAGTGTTTCCTTTTCTTTTATTTAAAAATGGGACCATGAGGAACTGTATACAAATAAGATGACTGCCCGGGCTCGGTGGCTCAGCCTGTAATCCCAGCACTTTGGGAGGTCAAGGCGAACGGGTTGCCTGAGCCCACAGGTTCAAGACCAGCCCAGGCAACTTGGTAAGACCTCATCTCTACGATAAAATTTTAAAAATTAGCCAGGCATGGTAGGGTGCATCTGTAGTTCCGGCTACTTGGAAGGCTGAGGCAGAAGGATCACTGGAGCCCAGGAGGTCAATGCTGGGGGGCCTAGAGTGTGCCACTGCACTCCAGCCTGAGCGACAAAGTGAGACTCCATCTCAAAAAATAATAATAATAATAAAATAATATAAAAATAAGGTGACCAGGTGTGGTGGCTCATTCCTATAATCACATCACTTTGGGAGGCCAAGGTGGATAATCACTTGAGCCCAGGAGTTCAATACTAGCCTGGGCAACACAGTGAGACACCTTCTCTACAAAAAATTCAGGAATTAGCTGGGTAAGGTAGCATGCTACTTGGTAGTATACTAGCTAGCTACTTGGGAGGCTGAGATGGGAGAATAACTGAACCCATGAGTTTGAGGCTGCAGTGAGTTATGTTCATGCCATTGCATTCCAGCCTGGGTGACACACCTTGTCTTTTAAAAAATATAAATATATGGGCCTGGCACAGTGGCTCACGCCTGGAATTCCAGCACACTGGGAGGCCGAGGCAAGAGGATTGTCTGAGCCCACAAGTTCGAGACAGCCTGGGCAACATGGCAAGACCTCATCTCTACAATAAATTAAAAAATTAGCTGGACATGGTGGTGAACACCTGTAGTTCCAGCTACTTGGAAGGTTTAGGTAGAAGGATTGCCTAAGTCCAGCAGGTTGAAAAAAATTATGGGGTGTTGTTATATGGTGCTGTCAGGATGATACTAAAGATACATCTGGATTTCAGGCATCTCACAGTTGTTGTTGTTTTTTTGGTTTTTTTTGAGTTGGAGTCTCACTCTGTCGCCCAGACTGGAGTGCAGTGGCCGCTCCCGGCCACCGCAGCCTCGACCTGCTGAGGTCCGGTGATCCTTCCACCTCAGCCTTCCAAGTAACTGGAATTACAGGCATGCGCTACCACGCCCGGCTGATTTTTTTATTCATTGTAGAGATGAGGTCTCGCTCCCCAGGCGGGTCTCGAACCCGCGGGCTCAGGCAATCCACTCACCTCAGTCTCCCAAAGGCCAAGCACAGTTGTTGTTTTTAATCATACCTTGTAGAATTCATCAAATCTAATCAGTAAAGTAGGGCCCTACTCCTGATACTCATCTACACTTGTTTCCATTAATCATACACTCTCATTCAATCAACAGTGAATGAGAATTGAATGAGTTCTTTTTTATTGAATGAAACTGATTCCCCCTACTTATAGAAATAAAACTTGATCAGCTTATGTGCAGATACTGAAAACATAAAGACACTAGGCGCAGTGGCTCAGGTCTGTAATCCCAGCACTTCGAGAGGCAGAGGTGAGAGAACTGTCTGAGCCCAGGGATTCAAGACCAGTCTCATTCAATCAACAGTAGTTGATACTTAGCACTACACATATTATATTTATTGTTTTAATATACACATAGAGCATTTACCGTTGTAATTATTATCTTAAAAATAGATGAGTAGAAATAAACTCTTATTATCATACAGACTTCTGGTTGATTTTACCCAACTTATTTTCTTCTCCTAAATTACAGTTCTTACATTAAAGTTTTATAGTTTATTTCTGAAAAGAAAAAGGATTTCTGAAATAAAACTATCAGAAAAAGATATCTTAAAAATATGTTTAACTACCAAAAACTATTTTCTATATTTTAGTAGACAATCATTTATTTATTTTGGGGAAATGTTACTGTTATAAGAAGTTGATGTGTATTTCTACTACTAAATCTCATTTTTAGCCACTAAATTAACAAAACAAACTGCGGGATTTCTTCCTTGAGATGTCTTAGGACTGTTTCTATATTTTTCTTTGCCAGAAAAGTTTTAGACTAACTTTTATAAGAAGTAAAATAAGAAAGTCAAAATAAATTATAGACATGTAGATGATTAAGGATATCTCATTCCTTTTTTTTCTTATGCCACTGTTCTTTCTATCTAAGGTACTAAATAATTTTCTCTGAACTGAAAGACTGAAAATTTATGTAAAATGCTTAACAATAACGACTGACTCATCAATGATACTTCATAAGTTAGTTCTCTTTTCCTTCTAATAAATGATGTCAAGATTCATTCTCATAATGGTTTCCAGCATATTGTACGATTGAAATAACAATTTTATTCCTTTCAAGTTTATTGCTATATATAACATGACTCTTGAACCTGATATCACCTTATTTATACCAAATTGTTTCCTATTGTTTTCAGTGACATTTCTCAATACTTGTCATTCTGGGAATAAATGCAACATTTGATTTCTATGTGTATTTATTTGCTGGCATTCTATCATCTCTACATTTCCCACCAAGTCTTGCTAAAATATAGAAGACACACACTGGGAAGTAGGGGGTATGGAATAACAGTATTTCAAAACTAATCTATATCCTGGGGAGTCCCTGATCCATCAGTGGACACCCAATGGGGGAATAGGGAGTAAACTAATGGTCTTTCAAAATTAATCCATATCCTAGAGTCCTTGATCCATCATTAATGATAAGTATATTGTATAATAAATACTAATAGAATCAGTGCAGAAATACAGTTTGAGGCAGAAAGGAAAATGATCTATTCCAAGACTCTTACCTATGTCACTCTTGAAAGAATTTCACATTGTTAAGAGAAAATATCACAGTACTGATTCTCTTATTCTTTCTCCTCAGTTTCTACCACTACTCATAAAAGACTACTATACTAGAATAGGATCACACTTGATAGCTCTGTTTTGAGATATAATGTGATCCCTTACTGACATAAACACAGCCTCTAATTCCACAAAAGGCATTATAATCTACACTTTGTTTTTACCATTTAAAATAAATATGCCTTGAGATTCCAGAAAACTTAGAATGGTAAAGTAGATACCACCCCAATATAGCACATTTTCCTAATTTATGTCTTTATAGATCTGGTCACTATATAACATGAGTAAATTATACCAGTAACTGGTATTTTTTTATATTATAGCACAGGTGGAAATAAGGTAATTTTATTAAATAAATAATTCATTTGTACTATATGAACTTCAAAGATGATCCATACAAAATGTTTATCTTGTTTTGTTTTTTTTCATTTCCAGGTATATTGAAAAGAAAGAGTAATTTTTTCAAACCAAACGTAGTAATACTTCATTTGTTCTCCATCTTTAGAGAAGAAGGTATCCCATAGGGTGAATTTTCCAAATAGTTATTTCAATGCCCAAATTCATCTTATTTAAACTATTTTGGAAAGAAATGCTCTTAATTGTGTACCATACTTTCTTACCACTTTAGATAGTACACCGTATATTGAACCTAGTTTAAGCCCTTGTTAATGGCTAAGGTCTATCACTGTGACTACATTAGGTTACTGTGGAGTAATTAAGATAGCAATAGCCTCTGAGGCATAGCAAACGTGAAGTAGTTTGTTCCTATTCTAAATGGTCCCATAGTGGCAACTTCTTATGCGTACATTTTAAGACTTCTCCAGTCCCTTATTAAAAACTGTCTTATCAAAACAACAACAACAACAAAAAACCATTCACTGTTTCTAGGGTGTCCCTTACCTAACTACTAAATCACTGACTCTAAATTGCAGTTGGTAAATCAGGAAGCCATGCAGGTAGTAATTTTATCAAGAGTAAGAACAAACACACTGGGGTGAGAGTTCTCATTTCAAAAAGCATCAGCTTAGTGCACAATGTGAATTTAAGTTTAACCCACTCAGAGGGCATTTTCAATTATTTCCTAGATCATGACTATATCAGATAATTGTGTTTTCTCAGAAAATATATAAAAAATACATTTTTAAAAAATAATTAAATTATTACTCTACAGCAATTATTCTCCTTATACCTTCTTGTCCAATAATGCTATCATTTTTAGTATCATCATTAGTAAGCAAAATCCATAATATAATCAAACTTACCTGAGGCACGTCTTGTGAATCGGTTTATTACTGGAGCTAAGAGAAAAAAGCAGAATAATGTGATTAGATTAAAAACCTAATTTTCACCAAATCCTGAAAAGGCTCAAATTGGTAAGCAATCTTATGATCCAAATAAGAAAAAAATAAACATTTTAAAATAATATAAGAAATACCATAAACATATGAAAATTAAATGTTTAATTCACTAATAATCAAAGAAATATATATTAAAATCAACATTTCACCTATTTTTTTTTTTTTTTTGAGTTGGAGTCTCACTCTGTCACCCAGGTTGGAGTGCAGTGGCATGCTCACAGCCACTGCACCCTTGTCCTGCTAGGCTCAGGTGATTCTCCCACCTCAGACTTCCAAGTAGCTGGAACTACAGGAATGTGCTACCACGCCTGGCTATTTTTGATTTATTGTAGAGGTGAGGTCTTGCCAAGTTGCCCAGACTGGTCTTGAACTCCTGGGCTCGGGTAATTCTCTTGCCTCAGCTTCCCAAAGTCCTGGAAGTACAGGCTTGAATAACCGCGCCCAGCCAACATTTCACCTACTAAGTCAATTCACCCAAAGCACTTCGAATTTTTCTTTTTAAATCCCTAGTTATAAACAGCTAAAACAACTTCACCGGGAACAGTATAAATCTATACATACCTTTAGAAAAACAATTTGACATTTACTTCAAGTGCTATAAGAGATTTGCACCATTTAATAGAGTAATTCTAGTCTTAGAGACTTATGCTAAGAAGTAATGCTAGAGAAAAAATGCAATATATGAATAAATCTATTCAGCAACATCATTTTTTAAATGATAAAATTGGAAAACACAATTTAAAATGTTCATGTATACTGAAATTATTTTTAGGTGAAGGATACTATATCCTTAAACATCTCAGATTTGTCATTTTGACAATTTCTGTGCAACCCAGATGTCCACGACATGCAAATCTGTACAGTGAAGACTGCAATTTCAGGCTGCTGTGTGCACCACTCAGTGGGCAAGCCTACCATCTGCCCACTCCTGCAACTCAGCTCAACTGTGTTTCTTCTTGGTTTTGATGACATAGTTCTCTCAAAAACTGAGGTTTTAAAAAAATGTTTCTCTTGAAAGAAGCAGGCAAGTTTATGGTTCATATTATATAAAGAAAGGACATCATGTACTATACAGAGTATTTTGGTGGCAGAATGGCACAAGCCTATTATAGTATTTTCAATATCTCAATAATCTCAGAGCATTAATTATGAAATTTGTTTACACTGCACAAATACTTGGGTCAAGTAAAAAAAGAAGACAACATTTTTATCAACACTATGTTTGCACTGCATAAAAATTATGTATGCACAGGAACAAGTACCAGAAGAAAACTGTCAGATGTGATACAATAACCCTTACAATCTTGCTATTAAATATCAGCATCTTCATATTACTAATGAGGACATTTTATAGGAAGACACAGAGAAACGTATTAATTTGCTTTAGTTCAAACACCACCCTATAGCATAGCCAAAGAACTTGAATTTAGAAGTGTCTAGCATGAAAATGCTGTCTCAGGAAAACAGCAAGTGAAAACTATAATTTCTGAAATTATACAGAAAGAGGTAAATTTTCTTCCATACTGAACTTCATTGTTATTAAATATTAAGTATGTGAAATAATTCAAACCCAATTATTAAAATATTATAGTTTATAACTAAATTATGTCCTCCAAATTGACTGAAAGAGATAAAATTTTTGCTATGTGTATACCCAAATACTTTAGCCAAATATTTGCACAGTCACAAATTAGTTATATAAAAAACTTGCAACAGGTAAACTCTATGTTATGTATATTTTACCACACACACGCATACCAGAAAAAAATCCATCAGTTTTCTTAGGCACTTTCAAACCCCTTTTCACAACTCCTACAGAACCAAGGCTAAAGACAGCCTCCCCAGCAAGCTACAAGGACAGTGAATGGAAACAAAATGCAAAAAACTTCAACAATAGGAATGCACAAGAGAGGGGCAGATAAAGGCAAGATGAAGGCTGAAAACCTATTTTAGCCTTGGGGCAAAAATAGAGTAGTAGATGTTCTCTGCCCTCCTGCCCCCAGCAGACTCCATAGATGATAAAGCCACAGAACTATAGCTTCTGGTCTGAAATGTTAGGAAGTCTTGTTTTCCTTGGGTCCTTAGGTTTTTGTGTCTTTATAAAGCGTTGAAGGCAGATATTTTTCCATACACACAGCATCCCATCTAGAAGGTGTTTGCTACATTTGGGAAGTGGGGGCAATTTCTATTGTCACAATAATTCAGAGGACATCCTTGGCATTTGGCAGGCAAACTCCACAACAGTCCCACACAAAAAAAGAACTGTCCTGCATCCCACAACTTCTGTTCTGCACAACTTTCAGACATGCCACTGGGTAATCACATTGGCAAAAATGTCTGTTTATAACTATCTGGGCCTAGATCCTAGTACTGCTTTATATAGACACATGATTATTTACATAGACACCTGATTATTTTATGTACTTTTAATATACATCAAATTGTTCACAACACAGTGATAACATACATTAAAGGAATTTTGTTTTCTTTTTTGCATTTTGTTTGGAATTTTAAGAATAGATATATGTTCACTGTTTCAGAAAGTCATGTGACATCATGTGATAGTTGCAATGCCACTTGTGGTATTTGGGTCACCAGTACAGGGAGTTTGATCAGATTCCATTGCAGCTTTCATATTCTTGGTGATTCCGCATCTAATCTAAGTTGGAGAATCTAGCCTCACTGTCTTGTGTACATATGAAAGCACATACCTACTGAAATACATTTTACTTACTAAACCATAAGCTACTTTCCTTTTTTTCTACTAAATATTTTCACCAGTCTACCAATTTGCAAATTGTGGGTAGATAGTTTATATGACTATGATTTTTTCATTTCCCAACAGCAAATGGGACATGGGGTTGGCCATAATAAGATAGGTGCACCAGGCAAGTGGTATGCAGTACTATAGTAAGGTAAATACTGGTTTTGACAACAATCACCAAAAATCCAATCTCTCATATCCATATCCTTCTTTATCCACTTGCAAGGCTAAAACACAAATGTTTCCTTCACAAACTTGGCAAGTTAGCTGTCTCCTTCACAAATGTTCTAGGATTTTTAGTCTAGCCAACAATATAGGGAAGAAGGGAAGAAGATTGAAAGATTCAAGGTGGAAGCCTGGTTGGAAATAAATAAATGTGCATCTGGCCAAGATATGCCTGGTCCTTTCTCTCTTGGGAGCCTAGGTGAGGGAAGGGGAACAGGAAGAAGGTGAGGATTGGCATTGCCTACTTTTGGACAATCCACATCATTGGCAATGGGGCGGTGAGGAGTGGTGTGGACAGGCCATGTGACTAGCAGACAGGAGCCTTTGACTACACTACTGGCCCCACTGCCCTCTATGATGAATCATCATGTAACCTTGACTTAAATTCTCGGCTGACACTATATGAAAAGTAAGTTCTACCTTCCTTCTTTCAGGGATTTTATATAAAGAAAAAAACCCTAAACATCTATACATGTCAACTATAAATTCCTCTTCAATTGTAAGAGACTGATATTTATTATAAGCTAATATTACCATTTTAAAATGGTAAAACAGCAATACAAATTCTCAAAAAAAGTTAACAGATGAAGATGTTCTAAAATGTGATAAGTCACATTAAGTTTTCTTAGACTCTTGGTTTTCACCTTCAAATTTTCTTATTCTACAGATATTCATTGAATATACAGTCACATACACACACACACACACACACACACACACACACACAGAAGATAGAGAACACTAGAGACTAAAAGAAAAAACTAGGAAACTTCTTATCTGCCTGGAGATACAAACAAATACGATTTAAGAATATACTAAAACCCAAAATTTTTTATGGGTTTTATGGCAAAAATAGGATATAACCTTAGTGAATCATCAAGGAAAAATACAGAAATATTTATATAGGTTTGACTTTCTCCCAAACGCTGTTCAGTGTGGAACACTGAGTCCTGTGTTCCTATGAATATCTTCATGCTTGTATAACCAGCGATCCCTTCAGTTGCCAAATGATGTTCTGTTGCATTAGTTTTAGTTCTGCACTCTCAAGATATCCAGAAGTTAATGAATTCAAGTCTTCCTTGTTCCTAGAGTATCCTTACAAGAATAATCCTCCATGACTTTAAGTAAACTGAAGGAGCCTCTCTACCCTAGCAGTGTAAACAGCCTCCCACACTTATTGGACTGAGTACTGCATCGGCCAGCAGGAACTGCCTATCTGCCCACCTCTTTATGCCCAAAGTCTAACACAGTGTCTGACAGATAAAAGGTGCTGAGTAAATATCTGAAGAATGAATCAATAAACTCTGTAAGTAAACAGAGCAAGTCTCCTTGTCCCTACTAATTTTACTGCTGCACTGAATGTGGATGTTGGGCACTGGAATTGTAAGAGTCCCTGCCTCTGAAGTGCTTAACCAAGTCTGGTGGTATTTCCAAATACAGTGGCTTCAAGGTCTTGCACCCTGCAAGCAGCCGCCCAACTTACAAAAATTTAGGTGAAAGAGAAATTCAGAAGACTAAAAAATCCTCAGGTTTTATAAAAATAAAAGCAGTTACTGAAAGCATGAAGCCATTGAGCTGGATCTCCAAAAAGGAAAGCCAGGTTGATAACAGTGCACATAGTTTGCATTTCGGAGTGCACTACTAAGAGGGAAATTCTAAAAAAATATGAGCCCTGAGTTATGATCTACAGTAATAAATACAACACACACACACACAACAAATATAAAAAATAAACTACCCGCCGGGCTCAGTGGCTCAGCCTGTAATCCCGCGCCTTTGGGAGGCTGAGGTGAGTGAATTGCCTGAGCCCACGGGTTTGAGACCCGCCTGGGCAGCGAGACCTCATCTCTAAAATAAATCAAAAAATTAGCCGGGTGTGGTAGCGCGCGCCTGTAGTTCCAGCTCCTTGGAAGGCTGAGGCGGAAGGATCGCCGGAGCCTGGCAGGTCGAGGTTGCGGTGGCCGGGAGCGGCCACTGCACTCCAGTCTGGGTGACAGAGTGAGACTCCAACTCAAAAAAATAAATAAATAAATAAACTACCCTACATATACTGGAGCCACATTAGTTAAATTAGCCTCTTGCAGAAAAGAGTTCATATATCCTCAAGTGAAATATAAACAACAATCTTGGATTCAGCTGAATAATTAGCATCTTCACCCTCCTATTAGTCACCTTTTCTAGCAATAGACAGTTTCTGAAATCTGTTAACTGTCTAAATAAAAGATACTAGAAACTGTGTAAAATGAAGCTCTATAAGCTAATTATTTTCGACAGAGTAAATACTTAGCTCAGAATAAATTAATTTCTCTTATGCCTGTGCTTCAAAAATTAAAGTGAAATAAGGCTCACCCTGGAACCAAGGAGGAATTAACTTTTTAAAAAGATCAACAGCAAACAAGCCAATAAACATCAACAAAGACTTGAAATATTTTGCTAATTAACCTAACAGATACAACTTGCAAACTTTTTTATGCATGCTTAATTCCCAGTATTGAAAAAGACTATTTATTTTCTAAACTTTTGTTAAAAGGAAGTGAGCGTTGACTTCTTATATAAATACTCAGACACACTCTTATTTCTTACTATCCTGCAAGCCCTTGTGCTGCATTTCCTGATACATGGTGCCTAAGAATTTGTAGATTCAGCCTCTGGAGGGGCTCGAGATTACCAGGACGGAATCACAGTTGGAGGGTCCAAAGCATCATGGTCCTGATATTTAAGAGACAGATTATGAACCATGTATCACAAAGCATTTATTAGACATAACGGAAACTGTTTGAGAAGCCACCATTTGAGGGACCAATTTTCTTCTTCTTTTTTGACTATACAGCATGAAGTACAAAGATCAGGTATCCAACCCACCTAAGCAAGTGGATCATGGATGGAGGTGGGATAGAATGAGATAAAATATAGATGCCTCTGCTTTTAGAAAGTG